AGCACTGGGCCTGGTATATGGGAGATGTTTTATACAATTTCATTGAGTAACAGGAAATCTAAGCTTATACTAGAATATAATATTTATTCTTTTTAAGACAACTTTTATTGTTTTCTTCTGCTTATAACAATATTAACAAACATTGTTTAAAATTTAGAAAAGATACAAAGAGTTAATGGTCTAGTTTTCAATAGCCCTTGAGTACAAATTGAATCTAGAGGTTTTTGTGTTTTACTTTTAAGGGCCTTGTAGACTTCCTATCTCCTATTACCAGGGATTCTGTCTTTCAGAATAGGTCTGAGGTCTCTTATTACCATGGCTAACAGAGAGAGGACTCCAGTAACCAAGCCAGAACTCAGCTGTTGTCCCTACAATGAAATGCTACTTCAGATTGGAACCCTGTCCCAAGCTGCAGCCTCTGTGATATCTTAGTGCCAGAAAGGCTGAAACTCAATTTCTCCCTCTCAGAACTGGAGATGCTAACATTCTGCCATCTTGCAGAATGGGAATGCAGTTGGGAATGCAGGCACTTGACTCCTGCATAGCAGAGCTGGTTGATTATGGCATAACACATGTCACACTTAGTTAAATGGTCTTGTAGTTACATCTCTTTGCCGCATCTGATTAGAAATCCTAGAGCTCTGGATTCCTTTTTCTCTTATGGTGAATTATTTCTCAAGACACTATTGTCTACTCTATTTGCAGTTGTTCACCCTCAACACTGTCTGCAATATGTATCTATATGTCTAAATCCCAATAACATTTAAAATGCAAATTTACACTCCAGAAGGTGCCTTAGCGCCCATGTAATAATGAATAATCATCTTTTATAACAGAACAAAATTAGACAGCACATTAAAAAGCAGAGACATAACTTTGCTGACAAAAGTCTGTACAGTTGAAGCTATGGTTTTCCAGGTGGTCCTGTATGAATGTAAGAGTTGGACCATAAAGAAGGCTGAACACTGAAGAATAGATGCTTTCAAACTGTGGTGCTAGAGAATTCTTGAGAGTCCCTTGGACAGCAAGGAGATCAAACTAGTCAGTCCTTAAGGAAATCAACCCTGAATATTCCTTGGAAGGACTAATGCTGAAGCTGAAACTCCAATACTTTGGCAGCCTGATGCAAAGAGCTGACTCACTGGAAAAGACCCTGATGTTGGGAAAGATTAAGGGCAGGAGGAGAATGGGGAGATAGACGATGAGATGGTTGGATGGCACCACTGACTCAGTGGACATGAGTTTGAGCAAGCTCCAGGAGATAGTGAAAGACAGAGAAGCCTGGCGTGCTGCAGTCCATGGTGTCATAAAGAGTCAGACACCACTTAGCAACTGAACAGCAAAAACAATAGAACAAAAAGTTAAAAAAATGGAATTTCACTCAATGAATATACTAATTGTTTTTCCTAATTTGTACCATTAGCATTTGTTTCCCAGGTGGTTTAGTGGTAAAGAATCTACCTACAGTGCATGAGACAAGTATTCAGTCCCTGGGTCAAGAGGATCCCCCTGGAGAAGGAAATGTCTTCTCACTCCACTATACTTGCCTGGGAAATCCCATGGACAGAGGAACCTGGCAGGCTACAGTCCATGGGGTTGAAGGAGGAAACACACAGAGCTGGACTCTGTCTTAGGCCAGGCTGCGAACATTAGGCTACAAGCATGGTCACCCTCCCAATGGACTCTGAACTGTGTGCCTGGTGTTTATAGAAATGGCATACCAATGGAAAACCAGACCCTCCGGATAAAAGAGCCTCAGGGCTTGTACTTGGATTCTCTGTCACCTAAAAGAATATGCTAATTATCTCTGTAACAGAACAAAGTTGTAAATTCCATTATGTTTATTGGGATATGACCACAGGCCTATTGCTAAATGTCCACTGTTTAACTATCTAGGCTTATACCACATGAATCATGGGTTAACTTTGATCATATCTCTCTTTTACCTTGTCCAGACTAGTTTCAAGGAATTTGGGGAGGTGGGTTTGAGCAAGTACACTTAGGGTATATAAGGTTTTCACCAAAACTGGTTGGGGTCCTTGGCTATGAGGAGACTCTGCTTTGGGCCCACCATGTAATAAACTGCATTCCACTATCTGCATTGTCCTTCTGAGTGAGTTTGTTTCCCAGAACATGTGGCTACAAAAGGGTTGCAGAAGAGTCGGACATGACTTAGCAACTAAACACCACCACCATTAGCATTAGCTCTATTGTCTTTAATCATAATAAATAACTTATCTGTATAAAAGACTCAGTTTATAGTTAATTTTGCCAGTTATGAAAAACCTCTGGTGTATAGTCAGTTGGGTTAGTGAGCCCTGATAGTTGATGTATAGTTTGCTCTCTGAGGATATGGTTCATGGTCCTCACAGAGTCCAAGTGCTCTCTGCTTGGTGCACAATAGGCCAGTGAATCTGAAAGATGAGGTGGTGAGGCAAGGAATATGACTTTATGACCGAGAAGATGGTCTCAAAGTAAACATCTTGTTGGGGTCTGGATTTCAGCATCTTTTATAAAGTCAGAGAGAGAAGCAATGAGGAACTAATGTCCAAAGGCAGAATAGAGAGGGAGAGGCACTGGGGAAGTAAAGTGAGTAGAAAGGGAGATGCGGTAGGGAAGTAAAGCAAAAAGGTCTTCAGTCTTGCAAAACATCTCCTGGAAGGGCCAGCCTTTGGAAGGGGTGTGTTAATCTCTTCTTTTTGTTGTAGCTATTCACAGGTGGCACTTCATGGCAAATAGAAGGGAAAACAATGGAAACAGTGGGAGACTTTATTTTTTTGGGCTCCAAAATCATTGCAGATGGTGGTAGCAGCCATGAAATTAAAAGATGCCTGCTCCTTGGAAGAAAAGCTATTAACTTTTTTTTATCAACCTAGACAGCATATTAAAAAGCAGAGACATTACTTTGCCGACCAAGGTCCATCTAGTCAAAGCTATGGTTTTTCCAGTAGTCATGTATAGATGTGAGAGTTGGACCATAAAGAAAGCTGAGCACCAAAGAATCGATGCTTTTGAACTGTGGTGATGGAGAAGACTCTTGAGAATCCCTTGAACTGCAAGGAGATCAAACCAGTCCATCCTAAAGGAAATCGGTCCTGAATACTCATTGGAAGGACTGATGTTGAAGCTGAAACTCCAATATTGGCCACCTGACATGAGGAGCTGACTCATTGGAAAAGGCTGATCCTGGGAAAGATTGAAAGCGGGAAGAGAAGGGGAAGACAGAGGATGAGATGGTTGGATGGCATCACTGACTCAATGGACATGAATTTGAGCAAGCTCCAGGAGATGGTAAAGGACTGGGTAGTCTGTCGTGCTTCAGTCCATGGGGTTGCAAAGAGTTGGACATGGCTGAGTAACTGAACTGACTGAACTGATTCACAGGTGGGCAGGGTCAGAGTATCTCTCTATGAGCTGAAAAAAAGGCTTTTTAGTTTAATGGTCAGGCAGAGAGGTAGGGTCCTCTTTGGCAGGACATTATGTATGACTGTAATAATAGAAGCAATGAAAAGCAACTCAAAGAAATAGTTTTCAATATGGAGTCAAATTGACAACACTTTAGCCAATGTATTAAAGTTTAAACTGAGTTTTACCTAACTCAAATGTAGAAAATTGAATTTACCTTTTTTCCTGGAAAACCTGAGTTTTATTTTGCCTGGATGTGTATCTGAACTTATTCTGCTGCTTTACTTGTATATTCATAATCCATGTGTTTTTTTGAGATAGGTGTTATATGAATAACATCCAGTTACAGGAAAAGAAGTTTCTTTAACAACAGTCATAAACACGGGATATACTTGTGTTGTAGATTTAGGTAACCTTTTAAAAAAAATTGAGGTATAGTTGATTTATAATGTTACTTACTGATGTACAGCAACATGATTCAGTTATACAAATATATACATTCTTATTTAAAAATATTCTTTTCCATTATGGTTTATCATAGGATATTGAATATAGTTCTGTGCTGTAGAGTAGGACCTTGTTTATTATTCATTCTATATATAAAAACTTACATCTTTTAATCCCAATCTCCCACTTCATCCCTCCCTCAACTCTCTCCCACTTGGCAATTACCAGTCTGTTCTCTATGTCTGAGTCTGTTTCATAGATAGGTTCATTTGTGTCATAATTTAGATTCCACATACAAGTGATATCATATGATATTTGTCTTTTTATTTCTGACTTACTTCACTTAGTATGATAATCTCTAGCTGTATCCAAGTTTTTTCTTTTTTATGACTGAGTAGTATTCCATTGTATGTAAGTACTCATCCATTCATCTGTCAATGGATATTTAGGTTGTTTCCATGTCTTGGCTATTGTGAGTAGTGCAGCAATTAATACTAGGGTGCATGTATCTTTTTGAGCTATAGTTTTATCTGGATATATGTCCAGCAATGGGATTGCTGGGTAATATGGTAATTCCATTTTTAGTTTTCTGAGGAACCTCCAAATCATTTATCACAGTGGCTGCACCAACTTACATTCCCACCAACAGTGGAGGAGGGTTCCTTTTCTCCACATCCTTTCCAGCTTTTGTTATTTGTAGAGGTTTTAATGATGGCCATTCTGACTGGTGTCAGGTGGTACCTCATTGTAGTTTTGATTTGCATCTCTCATAATTAGCGATGCTGAACATCATTTCATGTGCCTACTGGCCATCAGATAGTATCTTTTTTCATGGCTCATGATAACTTTTAAGGAGTATCAGGGACTGATATTTTAAGGCCTTTTATTATTTATAATGTTATGTAGTCTGATAAATCAGATGTGATTATTTTGTTATGCTCAGCTTTACTGAACATAGGGAATGTACTAAAGATTAATTTCTCACTTTGAATCAAATCTGAAAGGAAATACATATATTTCAAACATCACCCATAAACAAAGAGATATGTTAAGATCCTCAAGTGGTCATTTTATTAAACAAATACAAATTTGAAGTGTTTATGATAAAATATATCAATATTGGACAAAAATGTGTATAAACAGCAATTCTACAACTGAGAAGACATCTCAGTTTTATTAATTTTGGTGACATCTTCCCAACCATGTCTAATCTTCAGTATCTTCTTCCTCAAGCACGGCAGGAGTAGTATGACTTTGCATATCAGGACAACAATTGGAAGGAAAACAGCTATCATAAAAGTTGGAGGTGTATGCCATACAAACTGTTTTATATCTACCCATTTATTCCAGGCAAAAATCAGTGCATGTATTGTACCCAACAGAAGGGAAACAATTCCCAGCTTGCTCTGCAAAAGAGAAAAAGAATTATCTTGGTGAGAATGGTTCATTAAGAGTTTATTTCATTCTATATCATCTAGATCTGTTATGTTGCTTAGAAATTCTTCCGTTCATCTGTTATTGTCCACTCATCTCTTTCCACTCTTCCTACATGTGGGTAATGCCTTTGTCTCCAGGCTATTTAAGTTGAGGAAATGCACAACCATTCTCCTTTTGGTCTCAGATAATCAATAACACTGTCTTACCTTTCTCCATACCTTGTTTCTCTCTCTTATGATATTTATTTTATGATGCTCTATCCCCTGTGTATTTGCCTTAATTCTGCTCAACAAGAGACATCTAAACTCAGAAACTCTGTCTTATCATCACAGGATCCCTATAGAATCAACACAATGATTTGCACATTTTAAGTGCTCAATAAATATTGGTAGGTTGACTGAAGGTCAGTGCAAAATCAACTTGATACTAGTGATCTTTATCAATTATGAAGGCAATTAAAGTGATTCAGTTTGAGCAAACTCCAAGAGATGGTGAGGGACAGAGAAGCCTGGTAGGCTGCAGTACATGGGGTCATGAAGAGTTAGACACGACTTGGCTACTGAACAACAACAACAAAGTTATTGACTATGATTTTGGTATATTAATACTAGAATGATCTTGGCCTTTGTTTAAAAAATCAAACATTTTTGATAAAGTGGAAAAACACTAACAATTATCTCAATGTTTGAACAAAACAGAGATATGTAGACATGAAGAAAAATTTTAGCTTGCACTGGGATACTTGGCACCATCCAGATAAAGTTATAAAAATGATTGTTCACCTATGTAGTTTTATAGCATTCTGACAATAGTTCTTCTAGATATCTTTTGACTTCTATTCACTTTATAGGAAATATTCACTAGACTGCTAGAAAGAATCCAACTCACAATTATTCAGCAGTAAGCCCCAGTGAATACAGCCACATAGCTAAGTTTATATTTTTAGATATAAATGTCCAAGGTAAATCATAGAGTAATCAGTTCTTGGATTGTTAATGAAAAGTTTCTAGGTTATTAATTTAAAAATATATGTAATTGGTTGAAGATTAATTTACTAAATTTGTATTGTGTACATATTATGGGCTAAGTTGGAGAAGGCAATGGCAACCCATTCCAGTACTCTTGCCTGGAAAATCCCGTGGACGGAGAAGCCTGGTAGGCTATAGTCCATGGGGTCCCTAAGAGTCGGACATAACTGAGCGACTTCACTTTTACTTTTCACTTTCATGCATTGGAGGAGGAAATGGTGACCCACTCCAGTGTTCTTGCTTGGAGAGTCTCAGGGATGGAGGAGCCTGATGGGCTGCCGTCTATGGGGTCGCACAGAGTTGGACACAACTGAAGCGACTTAGCAGCAGCATCAGTATGGACTAGGTATTGTACCTTGAGTGGAATGGGATGGGTTGTCAAGACATAATGCTTGACTTTGTAATTAAATCTGTAAAGTGACGCACAGCATATGCATGACAGGCAGAGCAATGTAAGAAGAAAGTTATTTAATGAGGAATAGACTATTGGCTATTATTTAATGGCTATCAAGCTAAACCCACAAAATCAGCAATTATTGTGCTTGGAAAACATGGCACCATCTCTAAACCACATTTGAATAATCCAGAGGGAGACATTCTTTCCAGCTTAATCAGATGATTAAGGTGTCTGTTGGAGTATATGCATGGATATGTAGAAAGGACAGTGAGGATTAGCTGACTTTGTGAGATTTCTAAAGATGTCCACTCAAGAAAGATACAACATTGTGGTTTAGCATCTTGGCAGTGCTTAGGAATGAATTAAGTTCAGCCTTTTGAATACTGTCAGACATGGATCCCCTTGTGAATTCTGGCACATTGTTCTTTTTAGGGTGTGATCTACCACTAGCAAGTTAACCTTGGTGAATTTGAGATAATTTTGAATTCCAAGAATATTGAGAAACTTCAAGTGAGTAAGTTACAAAAAAATTAACTTGGAAAAAGAAGCCTTTAAAATAAGATACTAGAAGAGATAAAATTCCATAGTTTGGTAGATAAAACTCTCGTTCAAGGAGGATAGTACAGAGCCATGTAACTTAAAAGGCATGAATAAAGTCAGAGATAGACAAAATTTTTTTCTATTTTTGGAGAACTAAGTAAACAATATTGAATTTCTAAAACATCAAATTTGTTGTTATTAAACAGATAGCAAATGGTCTAATGAGTTTCAAATGTTAGAAATAATATTTTTCTTTGAGTAATGCCTTTTGTATGTGTCTAAAAAACATTTTCCCTATTTATAAGCAAGAGAGAAAATGACAGAAGGGCATATTTTTAATTGGAACAAGTGTGAGATCTTCGTTATTGGAAAACCATGTTATTTTTTATGGCTTAAAGTCTATATGTGTGCATGCCAAGTCACTTCAGTCATGTCCGACTCTTTGCTACCCTATGGACTGTAGCCTGCTAGGCTCCTCTGTCCATGGGATTCTCCAGACAAGAATACTGGAGTGGATTTCCATGCTCTCCTCCAGGGGATCTTCCCAACCCAGGGATCGACCAAGATTGAACCTGGTCTCTTATGTCTCCTGTCATTGGCAGGCGGGTTCTTTACCAATAGTGCCACCTCGGAAGCCTATATACTAAAGTCTATACACTTGATGACATTATAAGCACAAAAAGATTTACCTTGCTGAGGAGTCAGAGTTATTTTGTATATAATTTACCTGAATATAGTGAAATTCTCTCCATGTCAGAGAATCGCTCACAGATGGAATAGATGTCACAGCCAACAGAGCCAGTATTGCAAGTGCCACAATTCCCAGTGACACATAAATTTCCATTCTCCAAACATCATGTTCAATCCAGGCATCTTCATTATTTTGTTGGACCTAAAAGAGGGTGAAAAGAGGGTGAAAAATATGCAAACAACATTTGTTTCCAGTGTAAGAACCTCCTTCTATGCTCCCTCTACTGTGGAGGACCCGATAACTAGCTGCACTTAGTTGCTCAGTCACATCTGACTCTTTTCGACCTCAAGGACTGTAGCCCACCAGGCTCCTCTGTCCCTGGGGATTTTCCAGGCAAGAATACTGGAGTGGGTTGCCATGTCCTCCTCCAAGGGATCTTCCCAACCCAGGGATTGAACCCAGGTCTCCCACATTGCAGGCGGATTCTTTACCGTCTGAGCCACCAGGGAAGCCCCCTGATAATTAGGGGCCTCCACAAATTTATGATGGTATTTTTTGCATTTCTCTAAGAGAAATGACATAGGCACTATTAACTTCCTGCCTTGAATGCAACATTTATATAATCTGTTTTATTAATTTATATAATAGCTAATGGTTAGAATTGTCATATGTGGTAAAGAAGCAGAAAATACAAAGAGTTAGCATTAAAAATAAATCTTCTAAGGGTGGTAGAAGATTGAAATGTGGCTCTGTCCATGAACAAAACACGTATTTATGTTGTTAAAGTTGTGAAGTCGCTCAGTCGTGTCTGACTCTTTGCGACCCTGTGGACTGTAGCCTGCCAGGCTCCTCTGTCCATGGGATTCTCCAGGCAAGAATACTGGAGTGGGTTGCTGTTTCCTTCTCCAAAGTTGTAGCTTACTATTTGCAGCTTAAAAGACATTCCTCATGTAGAATTATACAACTGAGCCTAGTGAAGAGTTAAAAATTTTTTTTTGTTTAGAACAAAGTACTTTCTTTTTTTTTCCATTTATTTTTATTCGTTGGAGGCTAATTACGTTACAATATTGTAGTGGTTTTTGCCATACATTGACATGAATCAGCCATGGATTTACATGTGTTCCCCATCCCGATCCCCTCTCCTGCCTCCCGCTCTATCCCATCCCTCTGGGTCTTCCCAGTGCACCAGCCCTGAGCACTTGTCTCATGCATCCAACCTGGGCTGGTGATCTGTTTCACCCTTGATAGTATACTTGTTTCAATGCTATAGAACAGAGTACTTTTTTAACACAGGGTTTCAACAGAGGTTTGGGGTACTGATATTAAAATAAGAAAGAGTTAATTTGTTACGAGACTTAGACTTTTTAGTTTAATGGTCAGCCATGTCATCCTACCTGTTGATATGCCCAGTTCAGCAACTTATATCTGTAGGATCGCCTCATCGGATAGGATAAACTGTAAATTGCATGTAGTACAGCAAAAAAGAAACCGAGAAGACCAAACTGCTTTCTTGTTACCATCCACCTATCCAACCAGTGTGGAAATTTCTTATACTTAGTTCCATTATGAAGCTGCACAACTGCTGCTATCACACCTGGCAAATAAACCAGTGCCAAGAGGGTGATGGAAACCATTGGCAAGACTTTGTTGATGACCAGGATTGGAATTTTATAAAAATACTGTTGATGGGAAGTCACCAAAGGGTGAATTATTTCCCTTAGAAGAGTGTAGAGAAAAGTCAGAGATGATACAATAGCAGCGATTTTAATTGGCAAGCGCCACTTTGGAAAGAGTTTCTGTTTGTGCTGGAGCTCTGGGGGGCAATCAAATTCATCAAAATGGGTTGTTTGGTGCAAGTGCAAAAGCACAGGTCTTTTCAGCATGCTGAACTCTTCTGAGTCTTTATTCTACAAAGGAAAGAAAATAAACATCTTAAAATTGAACAAAACAATGGGATGTCTCTCAAACTAATTACTTACTGCTCATTGTGCTTATCAGTAAAAAAGGACATTTAGAACCCTACTTTCGGGTACTGATTAACTGAAGATGGCATACACTATGTGGTAATGATCAAAAGTGCACTTAGATATCATATTTTTGTTGGCTGCTGCTGCTAAGTCGCTTCAGTCACGTCCGACTCTGTGCAACCCCATAGACGGCAGCCCACCAGGCCCCTCTGTCCCTGGGATTCTCCAGGCAAGAATACTGGAATGAGTTGCCATTTCCTTCTCCAATGCATGCATGCATGCTAAGTCACTTTAGTCATGTCCAACTCTGTGCAACCATATGGATAGCAGCCCACCAGGCTCCTCTACCCACAGGATTCTCTAGGCAAGATTACTGGAGTGGGTTGCCATTTCCTTCTCATTGCTGGGGTTCTCCATAATTCCTGTTATTCATTTTTCTTTAAGTCAGAAGAAATACATGCTTCAGATACATTCACTAGATCTCAGACCACTGTGTTTCTATCTTGCAAGCATAAAAGAATCAAATAATGCAACTGGGAAACAAAAACTGAAAAACTAAAAAAAAAAAATCCAGTCATCCTTGGTAAAAATAATAACACTTATAAATTGTCATAATCATATTTGTTTTATAATTTTTATGGTTACTGGACAACTCTCTGTGAAGATCTGAAGAATGAATTCTTCATTCATTCAAGCACAAAGGACCAGGAATAATACAGTCATTACTATTAGATAAAAACATGTAATTTGCATCATGTAGTCTTTTTTAAAAATTAATTTCTATTGGAGTAGAGTTGATTTACAATGTTGTGTTAGTTTCTGCAACACAGCAGAGAGAATCAGTTATACATATACACATATCCACTCTTTTCCAGATTCTTTCCCCAGATAGGTCATTACCGAGTATTGAGCAGAGTTCTCTATGCTGTACAGTAGGTTTTATTAGTTATCTATTTTATATTTGGTAGTGTGTATATGTCAAGCCCAGTCTCCCAATTTATCCCTCTCCCCCATCCTATAGACTTATAGTCACAAAATATTTCATTTGTGTAAGTACTAACAGATAAATTGTTAAATGGTACAAAGACGATGTAAGGAGTTAAATCCCACAGGCATGATCTGTTTCCTGAGAAAGTTATATTTCTTTACCCAGTTGCCTTTATGGGTAGTCAACGATTCAAAAGTGTGTGTTTAGTTTGTCACTTCCACAACTGACTGATATAGCAGCAAATTTTAAAAAAACAAAATAGAAACATATCAGTGTTTCATATTGTTACTTTATGAATAAATTTTTCACTCAATATGTCATTCCTAATTTCTTATAGCTCTGTATGCAGACCTATAACATTTTAATGCTCAAAATGATGTTACTGATTATCTTATTTCCTCACTTTCTGCAGAGTAACTTTAATTCACATAGTTCTGTATCATTTTTCGTGTTTAAAAATGACCTCTTGTCATTTGACTTTTACTTTCAGTAATAAATCACAGCTACATCCAGTAATTTTTCCAATTACTCCATTTAGAAGGGAGCTGAGCTTGATGTAGATTCTGCCATCTCTGCATGTTAAAATAGTCCACTGAGATCGATTTTCTGGTTAAGGGTGAAGAATTATGGGACAGCAAGCAAGACAGTTCACTTGAAAAATGAGAATGATTTTATGCACATTTTAGACAGTATCTACTTGTACTACTTAATTTTTTTCTATTAAGATAACTAAGATAAAATAAATACTTTCTATTAAAACTGTAGTTGATATCAGTTGGAAGGCTAAAAAGTTTGGAACCATTCATTAAGTGGTTTGGAACCACTCATTTTCCACCACTCATTAAGTCAGTAAGTTAGTAAAAAGCATTTAATCTTGATGTGGGGTAAAAGTGTGACAGATGATTCTTATTCCAAAATTGAATTTCTTTGGTTAAATAGTGAATCGTTAATTAACTTGATGATCTCTTGGTAAGATGCCATGGTGCCTATGAAAAAGCACGTTTGCAAAATTACTGTTATATGGGCATTGATGACTTGTTCAAAAAACTTAGACCCACAGAATATTAGAAAGAATTGGGAGGGCCTTGGAGATGATCTGGTCCAACTCTCTCACTTTATAGATAAACCAAGACCCAGGGTTTTCAGTGACTTATTCAAGGGTATTTGGCTAAGTTCATGACCATCAAGGTACAACTTCTCTTATAGCCCACACTGCCCTTTACCCATCACAATATCAGTACCAGGAATCACAGCAAAGGGTGAAAATCACTTATCTACAACATTAGGAGATACTGAACAGCATTTGAATTATTTATAGATTTTAATTACTATTTTACCAAATAATCATCTTCTTCTAGATTTCTCCTAGGCTTCATTTTCCAAAGTTCTTCTTGGTTTGTGATGTCTTGTCTGCTCTCCATTAATTCTATAAAATAGTATGGCTTCAGTCACCTATGAAAATAAAAATTACTGTCTTCATGTCTATGCTATTTATGATATTAATGTTTGATAGGGAAATATGAAAAATTAACTCATATGAGGGCTAGTGTGACAAAATACAGTTTAAAATACAGTGACTGAGTGACTCATTTAACCTCACATTATAATCTAAAAATTCAAACAAGCGCTCTTGTGTCAATAGTAAGTGTATTTCTTTGTCCAGTTATCAGTGCAATAAATGACCCAGGTATCCATATGGAATTCAAAGAGTCAGATGTTGCCTTTTATTTTAGGATACTTTAACTTCAGGTGTTCATTTGGAGGAAAGTTAATTCCCCTCAAAGATAAATAGAATTGGGAATGCAGTTTTTCAAGAGTAACAATATTGTCAGTGGTGGTTAGAGTTTGATGATATAAGATTATACTTCAGGAAGCTCTGTTTTAATAGATTTTTGGGGTTGACACGAATCATAAAATGATTTTATGGGTATATGTATTCTTAGTTTCAGAAAACAAACAGAATAGACAGTATAGTAAGGTGAACCCTAATAGCACCATGAAGGAAATGTTGTATCTTCAGAGTGCCATTTTCCCATCGGAGTTACAGACGTGGTTTTGCTGCAAGACATGCATTGCTAGTATTTTTCCAGTGGGGTTGTTGAGATGTATTCAATCACTGACATGCCCACTCTCCTGGTTAGCCCCAAGGAAATTATTTTGTCACACTTCCTACCAGATAAAAGATGCCTAATGAATTATGGATGGAGGTTTGTGACACTGTACAGGAGACAGGTATCAAGACCATCCCCAAGAAAAAGAAATGCAAAAAAGCAAAATGGGTGTTTGAGGAGGCCTTACAAATAGCTGTGAAAAGAAGAGATGCGAAAAGCAAAGGAGAAAAGGAAAGATATACCCATTTGAATGCAGAGTTCCAAACAATAGCAAGGAGAGATAAGAAAGCTTTCCTCAGCAATCAATGCAAAGAAATAGAGGAAAACAATAGAATGGGAAAGACTAGAGGTCTCTTCAAGAAAACCAGAGATACCAAGGGAACATTTCACACAAAGATGGGCTCAATAAAGGACAGAAATGGTATGGATCTAACAGAAGCAGAAGGTATTAAGAAGAGGTGGCAAGAATACACAGAAGAACTATAAAAAAAGATCTTCAGGATCCAGTTAATCACAATGGTGTGATCACTCAGAGCCAGAGTGATCAGAGTGATCAGAGTTATCACTAGAGCCAGACATCCTAGAATGTGAAGTCAAGTGGGCCTTAGGAAGCATCATTATGAACAAGCTAGTGAAGATGATGGAATTCCAGTTGGGCTGTTTCATATCCTAAAAGATGATGCTGTGAAAGTGTTGCACTCAATATGCCAGCAAATTTGGAAAATGCATCAGTGGCCACAGGACTGGAAAAGGTCAGTGTTCATTCCAGTCCCTAAGAAAGGCAATGCCAAAGAATACTCAAACTAACTGCACAATTGCATTTATCTCACCGGCTAGTAAAGTAATGCTCAAAATTCTCCATGCCAGGCTTCAACAGTACCTGAACCGTGAACTTCCAGATGTTCAAGCTGGTTGTAGGAAAGGCAGAGGAACCAGAGATCAAATCGCCAACATCTGCTGGATCATTGAAAAAGCAAGAGAGTTCCAGAAAAACATCTATTTCTGCTTTATTGACTATGCCAAAGCCTTTGACTGTGTGGACCACAACAAACTCTGGAATATTCTGAAAGAGATGGGAGTACCAGACCACCTGACCTGCCTCTTAAGAACTCTGTATGCAGGTCAGGAAGCAACAGTTAGAACTGGACATGGAACAACAGACTGGTTCCAAATCGGGAAAGGAGTACATCAAGGCTGTATATTGTCTCCCTGATTATTTAGCTTATATGCAGACTACATCAGGAGAAATGCTGGGCTGGATGAAGCACAAGCTGGAATCAAGATTGCTGGGAGAAATATCAATAACCTCAGAAATGCAGATGACACCACCCTATGGCAGAAAGTGGAGAGGAACTAAAGAGTCTTTTGATGAAAGAGGAGAGTGAAAAAGTTGGCTTAAAGCTCAACATTCAGAAAACTAAGATCATGGCATCTGGCTCTATCACTTCATGGCAAATAGATGGGGAAACAGTGGAAAGAGTGGCAGATTTATTTTTTGGGGGGCTTCAAAATCACTGCTGATGGTGATTGCAGCCATGAAATTAAAAGACTCTTACTCCTTGAAAGGAAAGTTATGGCCAATCTAGACAGCATATTAAAAAGCAGAGACCTTACTTTGCCAACAAAGGTCCATCTAGTCAAACCTTTGGTTTTTCCAGTAGTCATGTACGGATGTGAGAGTTGGACCATAAAGAAAGCTGAGCACCGAAGAATTGATGCTTTTGAAATGTGTTGGAGAAGACTCTTGAGAGTCCATCAGACTGCAAGGAGATCCAACCAGTCCATCCTAAAGGAAATCAGTCCTGAAGAGTCATTGGAAGGGCTGATGTTGAAGCTGAAACTCCAATACTTTGGCCACCTGATGCGAAGAGCTGACCCACTGGAAAAGACCCTGATGCTGGGAAAGATTGGAGAAGGGGAGGACAAAGGATGAGATGGTTGGATGGTATCATCGACTCAATGGGCATGAGTTTGAGTAAACGCCAGGACTTGGTGATGGACAGGGAGGCCTGGTGTGCTGCAGCCCATGGGGTCTGAACTGAACTGAACTGAACTTTCCATAACACCCTTCGCAGATCCTCACATGGGCTTGATGTAACATTTTTTAGGAAAGGGAAACATATGATGTCACAATATTATTCACTGTTTTATTAGTTCTAAATTTATTTCCATAGGAATATATCACCAATTTGTCCATTATGAAATTCAATAAGAAAACAGATTAGCTATTCAATCATTTGACTGATAGAAACATTCCAAGTGTTTCTGAATTTTGGTTTTGTTGTTTAGTCGCTAAGTCATGGCTGACTCTTTTGTGACCCCATGGACTACAGCCTTCTAGGCTCATCTGTTCATGGGATTTTAGACCACTTTGTCATACTTTATTAAGTGGAAAGTTGTTTCCAGTAGTTTAAAACACATCAAAACTTTCTCCAACTTAAGAAAAATTATTTGTTTTTATTTTTTAGCTGTGCTGAGCAGCATGTGGGATCTTAGTTCCCCAACCAGGGGTCAAATTTGGATCCCCTGCATTGGAAACACAGAGTCTTAACCACTGGACCACTGGGGAGGTCCCCATTCTCCAACTTTTAGAGGTTTGAGCTTCACAAAGAATAAAGAGGAGCCGTCTTTACGTAATGCACCTTTGTTGAAGTGCTCTGAGAACATTTTCCATATTTTTGCTTCTTTCAAAATTTCACAATATTCCTGCTGAAATTATTTGTTTTGGTCTACCCACATTTTTTCCCCACTTATTTTTATGATCTAAAACACATTTCCTATCCAAAGAAATGCCCTCTTTGGCCACAGACGTGGGCATGTGACTCAGTCTTGACTAATGACAGTCCTCTCTTCTATTCATCACACTGATTATTTGGGGGATGGTACACATCTCTATTTGAGCCAAATAGAGTCCTTCTCTGATACATTTATATTTGGAAGTGGAAGATAAATAGAAGATGTCTTTAACATTTTGTTATATTGGGATGATACAAGCCTACCATGCCTTCTTCTGCATGCTGAAAGGAGGAAGGTATCTTCAACAGGACAGAAGAAAGCCAACACACAGAAGCCTAGGCAACAAATGGGGACAGACACAGAAGAGTCCTGGCATATTCAAGTATTTAGAGTCTCTGAAACCAGATCCTGAATTTTTTGGTTACACAAGCCAATACATTCCTATTTTGCTTGCTAGTTTGAGTTGGGTATGTATCACTGGTAGTTGAAAGAGTTTCGAGTAAAGCATATGGCAATCATTAAGAATCTATGAATGCAAATCTATGACTGACAATAAGGGAGGAAAAGGAGAAAAGAGATTTCATGTCTGCTCTGGAGCAGTTTATAGTCTATTTCCTTAAGAAGTATTATTCCAAATCATTTGGTGATCTAACACTATTATTGTGGTAATTTGGGAGTTTGTATGTGACTAGGAATACAAAGTCTATCTATTGTAATCAAAGACAAATAATTCACTATGTTTAGAAGATGTTTTAACTGTGAGTTTCAGGATGGTAAAGATTTTTAACATACAAATCTATACTTATTCAATATTAAGTCATTAACCATACTGTGAGCAAGGTAGGCAGTGGGAATATAAAGTTAAACGAGATGGAGACTCTGCTTTCAAAAACCTCAAAGTTTAGGAGACAAGGCAGACATTTCAACAGCTGACTACACGGTAGTGCAATGTATTGGAAAGGAAGACAAAATCTTATGGACAGAAGGAGGCATGAGAAGGGTGAGGGCTGTCATCTGGCCCTGGCCTTGGGGCATCTAGCAAGCTGGCAGTATTTGCTGATTGAGAGCCACTGCGTACAGAATCTGGGTGAAAAGCCAGAGTGGCCCCAGGAAGGTGTCCAGCCATTCATCTGTGTGGTAGGAAGACCATGTGGAAGAGCAAAAGAAAACCCAGGCAGCAAGGGAGCTTGTGCCCTGAAGCCAAGAAAATAAAATATCAGTCAAATGAAATATGTTGCTTTCCCTCACACATTAACCAAATATATAATTTAAGTTCTACAGTAAGATTTTTTCATCAACACAAACAACAGGAAACAGCACAGTATTCAGATGTTAGGAACTCTAGAATTTGATCCATTAAAACCCGAAATGTATTTCTTTCATCACCATTAAAACCCAAAGCATATTTCTGATGTGACTGTTCCATTTTGCTGTACCAGAATCTGACGTTCCTGCTAAATATTTTTTTTTCTTTTTTTTTCCCTGCTAAATATTAACACAGCCCAACTGACTTATGTTAATGTCAAAGAATTTAGAATATGAAGAAACTCAATGACTGTGATACATCGTGAGTT